CATGCATGCTGAGAAAAAATAGATTTGGAGTGGAAAATTTTTGACAAGTATGAGTCTAACAGTATTTGAAGTAGATGAGATATTGATTCCCCAAAATAAGTAAATAAATTCAAATGCCCAACCATTTTAAACTTCAAAACTCTCTGCAAAGTTAACAATGTCACACTTAGAAAACTGATAACAAAAAAAGTCCTTTCTATACAATTGCCATGAAAAAGGATTTCTTTCAGTTTTCCTTTCTGAGGACAGCAGCAGGCATGGCTGGAGAAAAAGTGCAAAACCTCAGGAGTGATTCCTGGACTTTGAGGTCCAGGTCAGATCAATTTGATAAATAAAGATAAAAAAGTCTGCAGTTAGTGTCCAGACTGGCTACTAAAATAGCAATAACAGCAAAAAAACACCAAAAAAATTCCCAAGCCTCCAGCAAATCTCACTCAGGCTGGAGTTTCAGGCCTTTCTTGGGACTGTCCCTGGGAACTGAATACTGTGAGTTTGGTAGCACACACTCGGTGAGAGCAATGAGGAGATGTGTTCAGACTGACAGCGGGTCTGAGCAGTGCTGCACACTCCGTGTTCTCCAGCAGTGAATCTGTTCCAGCCCACAGAGGTGTGTTCAAGCCCTAAGCTGGTGTCCTTTGCCTTTCAGCTGCATTTTGTGCCTCACACCAAGCTCCATGCTCTCAGGCTGTAAAGCTCAAAAGGAGCTGTTGGCACCTAGCTGCCCTGGCTCGTGGCAGCAGCACTTTTATTAGCATTTTTATTATTCCTCTGCAGGATCCCACTGCTCATGCAGAGTTTGTGTGCAATAACTCGGCTTGCAGCTAGGCAGTGATTTGGAATCAGCAGCAGCTCTGATTTGAAACCCACCAGCCAACAGCCCTGTAGGTCACAGCTGCCCTCAGCTCTGCAAGGCTCAGTGCTGCTTCATTCCTGCCCCCAAGGGCTCAGCAAATTCCAAGCACATCTCCAGGTGTGCAGAAATGTCTCCATATACCTGGAATTCTCAAAATCTTAAAAAAAAAAAAAAAGTAGGTGCAAGTAGACATAAATGAAGGGTTTCAATTAAGACCTTAGAACAGAGGAGACTTATTAGAACAATAAATAGTAACAGTGGTAATTCACATGTCCTCTGAACAGAAAGAGACTTGGCTTTCTCAGGATTTCTCCTGAAAGAAGCTGTGAGAGAAGAAGAGAAAAAAGAATCTAAACAATTCTTATCTCCCTGCTTGTGCCCATGTGGAATGTGGTCTGGGATTGTTTACCCAAGGGGATTGCTTGATTGGAGTCTGGTGAGGGTGTTTTGGGTTCATTGACCAATTGGATCCACATGTGTGTCAGGGAGAGCATCATAGGCTTTCTAGTTAGTTAGAAGTTATATAGTTCTTGTTAGTGTAACATAGTTTTAGTATAATACAGTATAATACAGTATAATAATAATAAATAACAAAGTATATCATAATAATATAATAAAGTATAATACAGTAAAATAAAATAAAATAAAATAGAAATTAGCCTTCTGAAATCATTGGAGTCCTGCACATCATTCTTCCCACTGGCCGGGCATTGTAGCACCAATAAGTAGCTACAACCAAATTAGCCTTACATCCTTTGAATAGACAAATCTTTTATAGCATTAAAATTGCTGGAGTGTAAAATAGCAATGCTTAAATCAAGCAAGAAAAGTGCCATAAACAAGCAAAAAGAACTACACTGAGTAGTGAGAGACTTTAAATTTTGCTGATGGGCCTTTGTGTAGAAAACTTGTAACATTGTTTTGCTAAATAAAAAAATATGTACTATAGTAGAGCTATGTAACACAAAGTAGTTAATAAATGACAAAGTTAAGAGAGTTTCTTTGTAGTTGTACTGAGAGGGGGAATTGTGGGAAACATAGTAAAAGTAAGAAGACTTTCAGAAGGATGTGAAAGCTGGCCTCATAAACAGAGCAGAGAACTTAGAGCTGCTAAGTCTGAAAGTAGGACAGTTACAATAGTACAGCAAGCAAGGACATGAAACAATAGATTGAGTTTTAGGCTTGGCTAAGATAGACCTTAAGATTGCAGAAAAATATGCTTAGCAAGATTGTAGAAGGTTTTAAGCTTAATAATGAAGTATTGTGTATTGTTAATAGAAAGAGGACAAGCAAGCATCGTGTGAAGTAGGTGTACGTGTGCTTTTAGTGATTAGCTAGAACAACTGTCTGTAAGCTTTAGCAATATGCTATTGGCTAGAAAGTTTTTTAAATGCTCTGTAACAAAGAAATCTTTGGCAGGACATGAGCAATTGTCTCAACCATGTAATGAGGCTGATGCTGCAATAAAGCACAAGGAACTCATCCCAGCAGTTCCGTCCTGTTTGTGCAAACCTCCAACACATACAAACCTCTCCGTTCTCAGACCAGAGCTCAGGGTTGGGATGGAAAGAAGGGGAAAGGGGAGAGAGAGAGGATGAAAATTGCCAATAAAGCTCGGTAATGTGAGAGGGACATATCGTGCAGCTCAGCTGAAAGGCTCAATTAGTTCTCCCGGGTTTATTTCATTCAAAGACTGCAGAAGCATTTCAGCTGCAGCAGCAAGAAGAACCAGGAGGCTTTGCAGGGGCAGGTTTTGGGAGCAGGGGAGCTACAGGGTGGCTTCTGTGAGAAGCTGCCAAAAGCTTCCTCCATGTCCAGCAGATCCAGTCCCTGGTGGCTCCCAAGGCCGGCGTGCTGCTGGCCAAGGCTGAGCCCAGCAGGAATGGTGGGAATGCCTCTGTGATAACAGATTTAATAAGAAGAAAAAGTTGCTCAGATATAATTGTGGCCAGAGAAGAGCAGGATGAAAACATGTGAGAGGAACAACTCTGCAGACACCCAGGTCAGTGGAGGAGGTGCTGTGCTCCAGCTGATAAGTGGTCAAAGATGAGACTCAGTGATCTTAGAGGATTTTTTCCAACTTAAATTATTCTTTATTACTAAATTTAGTTATTTAGCAAACTGAACATAATATACAATGAAAGACAAAGCAGTTTTGAATCTTAAAAATGTCATCTCTTCTGGATTAAAAGCATAGCCCTGGCCTATACAAAAGTATAAGATGTAACAGAAAGACGAGCAAGTGTTGTGAAAAGATATACCTGTATGCAAATATAGTGCAGGTTATGTGGAAAGACAAAAGTAAATCAAATAAAATCCATTTAAAAAATAAACTGCTACTGCAGTCCTTCTGGAGAAGAGGTGGATAAGGAGCAGGAGGAATAGAATTAAAATGTGAACCACTTCTGAATCCCTCCTTGTGGCCTTGAGTTCACTCCCCACTTGTTAGGGGTGTGTGGTATTGATTTCCCCACCCTGGCAGGCCATTATGGATGAAGCAGAGCTGCACTCTGACACGCTCAGTGCTGGGAATTGTGAGCAGCCTTTTGAAATGTTCCTACCAGGTGGCTGCAGCTTTGCAAACCACCTGCTTCAAGGCTGAGCCCTTCTGGATCTGCTCTGGGCAAACTTGTGGATTTAACTTATCAATAGGCTATCAGTGTATCCAGGGATGTGTTTAGATTGTGTCTGATAAAAATGAAAAAAAAAAAAAGAATTTGCATTTATGAACGTGGAAAACAAAGTTAATAAGTGGAGCTGAATAGTTCCTACAGAGCCCTGTGAAGAGTCTGTGGTCGTGGTGAAAAATCCAGAGTTCACAATTACACACTCAAATTTGAGTGTACTGTAAGACACCTGATGAATCATGGCCTTGGAATATAAAAGCTTCCTGTTGACATTTTTCCCTTCAGCTCCAAAAATTGAAGTTGCTGTATCTCAGTTTCTTAAATGTGGTCTTCTCAAAAATACATTTTCCCAAAAAAGAGAGTTAAGGCAGGCAAGCATTTCAGGTATTCTTCTTCAATAATCTCTCATGAAAAACTACAATTTTTCTGTCATTGACTCACTATAAAGCAACTCTGGATTTATTGTGGCCAGTAAGCTTCAAGGATAAGTACACATTCAATTGTGAAATATGAAACAGAAATGAAAAAGGAAAAATATCCATCCAAAACGTATCAGCAGGCACTGGCCATCAAACCAGGGCTACTGTGTGACAGAGTGTGGTTTTCTGGGAGTGTGCTGGTAAATGGTCTCTGTATAGAGATTTTATAAAGTACAACTCAAAGTAGGACAATGAGCAGTAGAATTATAGGGATTTTTTTTTATTTTTTTACATCAGAATTGGAGGAATGTAAAAAAGAGAAATCTGACACTTCTTTGGTTTGTTAAGTTTCTGTTTCCTTGAAGAGCTGGAATCTGTCTCTCTGGCTTGCAACCTACATCTTGCTACAACATTTTAATTACGTGGTCTCTTTGCAGGCACTTCAAATCTGATGTATTTCAAAAGGTTTTATACCTTTGAAAAGCTGGTGTTCAGCATCTTCACGTCCACTAGATGTCACTCAATAGTCATCATTTCCAGCAGTGACATAAAACACACACACACACAAAAAGGGCAACATTTTTTTTTTTCTTCAGACTCAAAAAAAATGTTCTTTCAAAAATTTTTATTCACTGTTTAAAGTTAATATGTCGTATCTGAAAGGTTTTCATCATCACTTCAAAAATTAAAACTTTTAGATGATTCCATTAGAAGCCCTGGTTGCCACGTGGAAGTTATATATTCCTTTAACATAGTTATTTCAAAGAGAAAAATTGAAAAGGTAATTTGGAGGGTGGTGGACTTGATGTTAATGGATACTTGTGCCTCTGGACCATGACCACACTGTTCAACTTTTTGATCTGCGTGATGCCTAATGATATTTATCTTCAGTGATATTTTTTAGCTTTTATGTCTATACTCTGTGGGGTTTTGCCTTTAGGAGTTGCTTTGAATCCATCACCCCCAAAACAGCCAGGATGGATGGAATTTCTCTTACTGTGCTTGCAGTGGTGAGTTTTTACCTGGGCATTCTCTAGCCCCTCATTCCAGTTCTTGCATGCTGTCAGAACCACAATCACACCACAATGCAGCAGGCTTTTCTTCAGAAACTAAACAAAGAAAAAAATTTCTAGCCCTCAAAAGATTTCCTTGTCTTTTTCCATACTCCCTCAAGCTTCCTGGAGACAGATGAGAGGAGGACCAGGGGAGTCCCTGAAGAATCCACCAGACTCTGGATGCCCAGAGGAAGCACTAAGGGAAAGTCAGGAAGGATCTCAGCAAATCTCACTGGTGGGTGCAGCTTCAGGGAGTAAAACATGGCAGGATGCTCAGGGAGGGCAACAAAGGAAAATTGAAAGAGAGTTTTGGCTATAGAGATTATAATCCCAAAATAATCTCTAATGGGTGCTTGGGGAGAGTGCTGAGATGGTTTGCACATTCTCCCAGAGGAAGCTGAGGATGTGGATGTCCAGAGGGGACAATATGGTGTTGGTTTGGGAAAGGATTGGTCAAAGGGGCACGTGGAGAAATACTGTTAAGGCAAATAGCAGCAGGAGGCTGTGTGATAAGGAAAGAACAGTGAGCACTGGGAACTTCCCTGCCTTATCTTCAAATCCTGCAGTCTCACACAGGGCTGGCTGCAAGTCTTCTGTATTCCTGGCTTCCAGGAGAGAGAAAACAGGGAGACACTGTCCCTACACCCCCAGCCATCATGGAGTCACGGTGGATTTGGGTTTGTCTGCTTGCTGCTCAGGACTTAAGGGGGTTTCTCTATAGTGAACAGGTGTGAGAGCTCACAGGAGTAGGGGCTGGAGAGGTGGCAGAGAGGAATCTCTTCCAGGAATTGGTTAGAAAGGCATCTCAGGAATATGAAAAGATATGAAAGAATGGATGAGGAAAAGGCAAAGGTTCAGACAAGGATAATTGCACAGTTTTTACAACCCCCAACAGGAAAAAGTGCAGGGAGCCCAAGGCCAAAGGGAAGGGGGTGAGCACCAGGACAGTGAGTGGGAAGGAGCCATTGTACCATTTGTAAAAAAACATCAGAAATGGATTAAGGGTGTCAGGATCTGCTATTGTACCTGGGCTCACCACACTGCAGCCCTTGCTGGACCAAGAAGTGTTTCCTGGTAGGCACAGGAACTTCTCTGTCTGATTTAAATTTTATTCTAAAGGTGTTCTTTTGAGAAGAGGGAAAGATGAGCACGTGCATTTCATTCAAGCACTGTTAGTGAATTGTCAGAGTCCAGAACATCCCTCTGGATGCCCTGGCTGTCCCAAGACCCTGGCAGGGGGCTTGGAGACCTTGGCATGAAGTCAAAAACATCTGTGGAAAAAACTGTCAATCTTGTGTGAGGAATTAGAAGCCACAAGGGTTTGAGTAATGTGATAGTTGAGTTAACACAGGTTGAAAAAGTAGAATTTTGGGGTTCTTAGAATGTAGTTCAGGGGTAGCAGATGGAGGGATTTGGGCGTGTCCTGGCCTTCTCCTTCTTCTTGTCCTCCATGTCTTGGTGTGACAGTGACAATTCTCTATTGGTTTAAGGTAGAAACACACCGTCCAACATAAGTGATGGGTTCTTTCTGTTACTTGAGGTCATAGGGGTTATTTGAGGTCATTTCTGGCTATGATCAGGGTTACTTGAGGTCATTTGAGGTCTTGATTTGGGTTACTTGAGGTAACAGCAGTCATTTGAAGTCATTTCAGGCCCTGATCAGGGTTCCTTGAGGTCACAGGGGTCATTTCAGGCCCTCACTGGGGTTACTTGAGGTCATTTGGGGTTATTTGAGTTCATTTCATGCCCTTATCGAGGTTGCTTGAGGTCACAGGGGTCATTTGAATCTATTTCAGGCCCTGATCAGGGTTACTTGAGGTCAGAGAGCTTACCTGAGGATATTGGAGTCTTTTTTAATTGATCCAGGGGTTACCTGAGGTAATTTCAAGCCTTGATGGGGTTACTTCATGTCACAGGGGTTACTTGAGGTCATTTGAGTCTTTTTTATTCAACTAAAGTTTTAGGACTCCTCTGTCTCATTTTTGGACATAAATCTCTGGTGTTTGTGGATTTTTCTGACAAATATATATTGACAGTTCAGCGATTCCCCCAGATCTCCAAGGAAGCCTCTGTCCCTGAGGCATTCATAAAACTTTATCATTTCTTACCCTAATCACCAGCAAGAGTGACATTTTCAAATAGGTGCTGCAAAGACATGAAACAAATTCTGCCCAGCTCCATAATCAACCTTAACACTCAGAACCAGGAACATTAGAAGAATTTATTTATTTATTATTCTGTGCAAATTTCTCCTGACACGCACATTAAACTCACAATGTAACGAAAGGGAAGCACATGGGAGGTAGAGAATTAAATAATTTTTTTCAGCTTCTGTTTTTCCCTTTCTATTTTGTCACCAGAGTTTTAACACTCAAAGGATGCTGTTTGGGAAATCTATCAGAGGGTGCTAACAAGGAAAATAACTAGTGGGCCTTTTGATGGCAAAGAAAAACAGATGCTGAAGTGAGCTGGGTGTGTTGTTGCCACTGCTGTTTCTGATGCAGCTTGATCATCTTTCCTCAAAGACAAAACAAGCTCAAAAAAAGATGCAGAATATAAAAAGAACCGTGGAGATTAAAAAAACGCAGCTGCTGTTTCTGAGGCTGTCTCTCACTTGCTATCAGAGACTGGCAAGTCCCCAGCACCAGGTCTCACCTTTTGTGATTAGATCTGACAAAGCCCCACAAATAATCAGACTGTTTAAAACTCTGCTCCAGCAGCTTTTGTGATCACAGGCTCTCTGACATGATGCAAAACAATCCTTGCTACCAGGGCCCAGGACTTGGGAAAAAGGAAAAGGAGAGAGAGAAAATGAAAGAAATACACTATACATTGGGAAATAGGGGGGAAATACAGGGGTTGGGGATGGAAAGCAAGATTACGACCTCAGCTCTCATAGTTTGGCACTGACTGGAGCTTTTCGGAAGCCAATGGAGGTGTTGGTGGCATGTGGGTTCATCTTGGCTACCCAGAGCAGTAAGGACATCATGGTTCAAGAGAAGGATGCTGTCCCCAGTTGTACTGTGTTTTTGATGTGAGATCTCACTGTCCTCTGGCACTGCTCCCTGGACACAAAGATGGAATGATGGATTAAACACCTCAGGCTTTCCTCACCCTGGTTACTACTAAACTGAATTCTCAGCATTTCAATTACTCCAATTATTCCAATTATTCCAGCATTCCAATATTACTCCATCAATTTTATCCACATACAAGCTATTTGCCCATCTTAATATCACCACAGTTGGGCAGCTTATTTTGACTGGAATAATTCACATTCACATTCGTCCACTTTGAGTCCATGGGCTGAACTGAAGCATTTTTTGCTTTAAAAGACTTAAAGCAGTAGCCCCCAAGGAAGTACAGCCTGAGGCCACAGGATACAACAACTGGAACTGCACATCATTTTAATCCAAACCACAAAACTGCATTTGCTCTCAGGTAAAGCTATTTACTCCTGTGGAACTGGAAGGAAACGGGTGGGAGCTGCAGTGTTTCATAGCTTTGTTTAAATGAGGCATGTTTTAAGTTACCTGGAGACTCCAAGCAAAACAGAGCTTGCACAAGCAAGTACAGAAATGGTTTCTCCTCCACAGAGTTATTACAGTACAGACATAGACACACAGTCAAGAAACACAAGGAAAAACATTTTAAATTGGCCCAAGTCAATGAGCCATTTGATAGATTTCTGACTTCCACTTCAGTGCTTTATCTGTCCCACACTGATAGGAAATGAGCATTGAGGGCAATCTTAGTGCTCTTTGAAATAATGGAGATTTGCTTTTCTAGTAGTTAAATCAATGCAGAATCTATTTTCTGAACAGCAGTAGGTGTTTCGTCTGGCTTACCTGCCTGATGGATTTGATCAGACACATCCATTGTCCTGGGAAAGATGTAGAACACATCTCAGCGTGGCAAGGGGAATTGCTGCACTCACAAAAAAAGTAATCACTAGCAAGGAAAGAGTAAAAATCAACAGCTCAACTTTGCTGTAATTCCTTTGTCACTACAGTGCAAGGTTGGGAAGAACAGTCAATGATGTGAAAGTCAGCATGCAAAAATAATTATCAAATGAGCCCAAGTCTGAGATGAAGGAAATAACTGAGTGAAAACTCTTTTCAGTGAAGCAGCTGTTAATTGCATTCATCAGTCCAGTGAATGCAAGGGGAAATTTAATGAACTCCTGACCAACAACTCTTTGATTAATTTCTTTCTTCCATTCTCATTCACTGTGCCTGTTCCCAATGCCTGAGCTAAAAATGGCAAATTTGGTGCAGGCTCTGAGTCTTTAATATGGGTGCTACTTTTTGAACCTGCATAAGTTTTTCACCACCTGTGTAGGATTTGTGAGAAATGCAATCCAGCACTGAGGCAGAAGCTGCTTGTCTCTTGAAATTAATGCCTCATACCTGCCCTGAGAACAGAGTGCTCCAGGAGCTGAGGCCAACACGACTCAGAGAGTCTCTGGGCGGGTGCTGAAGGAGAAACTCAACCTCTTATCTGTCTGTATTCAAAGTGGAGGCAGTACAGAGGAGACACACAGCTAATTTAACAAGTGTGGAGAGAGAGTGAGGTTTTGTGGCAAACCCCATTCCCCAGATGCCATCATCCTTTTCTTCAAAAAACCATTTCCTCTCAGCAAAATTCCTCTATTGTTCTTTCTAGTGTGCTGTTCCTTTATGAAGATTCTCTTTTTTAAAAAAAATTTTTCTTTTCACCTTTTTTTTCTATTTATCTTTAATCTTTTAAGCATAAGGACTTTATAATCAGCACAGATGTGAAGACATTCATAGAAAGAATCAGAAAATCTGAAACCAAATTTTCAGTGACTGCCACAAGGCTTCTCTCAAGACAAGACTCAGCTACCACCCCTGGGGACCCTGAAAGCTCACACCTGAACTCCACCAGGTTGTTCCCTGTGCAAGGGATGAGATCCAGACTAATCCTGGCCAGGTAACCACAGCAAGCACACACAGGCAAGCTCTTCACAGGTCCAGACACCAGAGGGGGAAGACACTTCACAAAATAATTGCAAATGTAATTTCTCGGGACACCCTTCTTTCCCACTTCCCACCTCCTTTGGAGCAATGTGGCACAGCCACACTCTGTGAAATAAGTATCTCAGACAAGAGAGACTTCTCAATCTGTGCTTATTTTAGGTAGCTATTTCTAATCTTAAAGCCTGTAATAGCAGACCATCAAGTTTCCCATTGCTTTTAGGGAACTCAGAGAAGAAAAAATAAATTCAAAATTCAAACATATAACTGTTCCTAACAGCTTTAAGAGGAAGGACATCAGCCTCTAAATTAACTCAAAACCTACAATAATTACACAAAATGGTTTAGAATATTATGAAAACCTGAATTGTCTTCTTAAGAACTGCAAAATTGATTATAAAAGAGATGTTGTCAAAAGGACTACTCTGCTAAAAGTTTTTCTTTTAAAAGGCAACAGGTTGGTGAGCACAAAATCAAAGCTTCTTTTAAGGAGCACCCTGAAATTCTTACACTGCTGATCTTTGTACAAGGGCAACAGAGACCCATGCAATAGGGAGTGCTTGATGCTAACTAGTGTTCAAAGGATAGTTCTAAAATTTAGATTTACAGATGATTTCATTAGTTGCTCACTGAGCAAGGTGCACAGCAGATATTAAAAGTCTATCTGTACTCAAACTACAAAAGAAAATCTCCTAATCCTTCTTTTGGTTAGGCAAATGTGTATCTTTTTTTCCATACTCTGCATCTTTGCAGCAGTAAGTGGCAAGGGTAATTAAGTAGTAGTTAGGAATCTGCTGAGTGTTGCATGTCCTTAATGTGCTTTAAGGAAATTCTAGCATTACAGATGCGTAGCATTCCTATTACTTGATAATTGCATTTTAAAATCTGGCATTTTAATTATGCTAATATGCATGGGGTTATATTTTAAATTTAGTACCTTATTTTATGTTCCAAGTGCTATAAGTTCTTGCCCCTAGATAAGTAAAATTTCATGGGAATCGGAACTGTAACACCCCATCATTTTATCCTCATACTCTAATTAGATGCTGACATTGGTTAAATGAGTTAAATCGACTATGTTGGTTTTGTGTGTGTTTTGCCAACTCAAAGCAAATTTAAATTAAGAGCTTTTATGAGAATTCTGCACTCCTTCTGGCATGAGACATTATCATATCATAATAGATGCAATTTAGAAGATTATATCACTCCTAATTCATTCTCCCAGTTGTTTAGGAGACAAATTTGGGCCCATCAGTTTGAGTTGAATGTTTTGTCTCCTGTCTCAGCTGTGTAAGTAACCAAGTAACTCTCAGTGAGTTGCTCTTAAAATCTGAACAGAGGCAACTGCAGGATGCTGTGGTGGGAGCTGTGTTTTCAAAATGGACAGGTGGCCCAAATTGCAGTTCAAATTCTGAAACGCCTGTCCTAAGAAACAAGCAAATAAGCCCCCTCAGAACAGGGGTGCTTCACATTTTCTAGAAATTCACAGTTCTCTCCATTTTCTCAAGTCAGGCGGACAAAATGATTAGTTGTTTCAAAAGCTTAGGCTAAAATGTAATTAAAAGTTAAATTCTTAGAACTGATTATCCTTCTTAAAATGGCTTACTTGTTCACAAACACTGGCTCTAGGCTGTACCGCTATCTACTTTTAAAATCTGCCCATAACCTACAGCTGAAAAATAAATTGGGACAATCAATTATGTCCTGTCTGTTTTAATTTGCAATTGTATCAAAACAGATGGATGAATAAAGATGATTTGGCAACAAGAGTGTGGCACCACTTCAGAGGATCAGGAACCTTCAAAGGTGAGAGGAAGGGCAAGAGAAGGGAAACTTACTCTTCTATATTACTGTAAGAAAAGCAACATACCATAATTCTGTGGCAGTTTTAATCGTACTAAAAAAAATTATTAGTCCCTCTAGGTAGGAAGGAGTTGAAAGAAAGTAAATGAAAGCAGGGAAAAGTGGCTAGAAAGAGAGGATAGTGAAAAACAAGAAAACACTCTGAATAGCAAAAAAACCACCCATCTAAGTGATTGATGAATTCAAATATGACACAAAGAAAAAAATAGAGAAAAGCCATTCTGAGTGAAAGTACATATTGAAGTTTCAAGTTCCTTTTAACAAACTCATCACCAGCTCTGAAGACCACTTAGCATATGGAAGACTGTACTTCATTGGAAGCAATTGCTTGTCTACAAGAGATGCTTAACCAAATGAAGCCAAATCAACTTCTGCCATCAAGGTAATGCCTGCATTCTGCAATCATCTCTTAATCCCTTTTCATTTTTACTGACCTGACCCATGTTACTGGAATTAAAAGAACTAAGAGGAAAAAATTAACCTGAAATTTTTCACTTTCTTGAAAATTTACCCTTGCATTTATAGCATATTTCCCATTCTTCTCACTAACAAAAATCTTCAATGCCTCCAAATATGACTCTCTTAGTAGCTTCCTCCTACCATCCAGCAGTGGGGAGAATGCAGAACTAGGAATGATTGTGCATCTTCATCACAAGTTTCTCATCATAAAACCTTAAGGAGGAGACTGAGAACAAGAACCATGAAGCTATACTAATTTTCTTTGCCACAGTGAAAAAAATTAAACTGAAGTTAAGATGCTCCTACAGAGACAGAGCTGTTTTTTGTCTTCTACCTGACATCCCAGAAAGACAGGGGAGGTTCTTCTTAGCACAGAACAGAGCTGTTTGCCTTCTGCCTACTCTCAATAATGAGATACCAGCATTCTATTTCCTGAAAGAGCTGGCTCCTTGCTCCCAGTGCAATAAACCAGTCTGGGCAGTCAAAGAGACTTGCACAAAGTGGATTTAGAATTAATCCTAGTAATCAGTTTGGACCTGTTAGCCTTTTCCCACTAGGCACTACCCAGTTCAAACCTAGATCAGCCTATGGGCTCATGAAAAAGGTTGCACAAACATTTATTGCATGCTAAGCAGGGACAAAGTGGAACAAACTAAAATGCCCAAATCACACTTACTTTTAATGATTCCTGACTTTTGGGTACTTGATGAACATCTTTAACCGGAATGGTTAACACTGGTAAATGTTAACAATGGTAAACACTACAAATGGTGTGCTAGAAATACCTGCATCCTAAATTCTTGGGAGAATGCAGCCTGGACCCCACTGGCTGCCATTTGTGCAGCAGGTCTAAGCTTCCTGTCACTTTTTGGGTCACTTTATCCCTGTGGATGCAGAGATCATCCCTCCAGACCTTAATGGCAAGAGCTGCAATGCTTGTCACAGGGCCCTGTTGGGGCTAGAACTTTCCCTGCTTTCATTCTCTTACATGGCCATGCCAGGACCACTCATTCTTTGGCCTTCTGTGGTCAAGCTGAAATTGCATTTCATTTCAGACTCCATAAGTAGTGAAATTTTCTGTGTGTGTTCTATGTCTGTCTGTACCAACATTCATTCAATCTTGCCTAATGCAGCCATTAAATTAAAAGATCCTACTGGTTCTAATTGGTCTTCCTGAGTCAAAGTGTTTCTCCATCCCACTTCAGGTAAAACTCCATAAAGGGTCTATTTATAAATATTGCCAACATGGTTAATGCTTTTGACCTTTGAGGGGAAGCAATTCTAATAACTGTGCAATGCAGCAGCAACATTTTCTGTTACTGTTCTGAATGTTCCTGTTCAGGAACAGGCTGATGGCCTCTATTTCCCTCTCTCTTTCTGTGTTTTTTACAGTCTGCCAAATAAAAGGATTTATTTGCTCAGAGTGCAGACCAGCTGAGTTTAGCAGAAGCTCATGAGCAGTAATCCACAGAACAGTTCACATACAAGCTTCTGAGAATCCACCCCAGCAAAGCACACAGCCCTTGTGACAGGTATTTTTAACAATTACAGCCAAAATGGACACAAGGGAAGGACAAGCACATGTGTCCATGGGATAAAGTTTCTTCAGTTACATCTTTCTCATATGAGTGATGCAATTAGCTCCTGGATTCTGACTTAGGGGCAGCTGAGGGGAAATTACAGAGGGCCAACTTAAAATGCTTAAACAAGACAATTGCTTAAATTGTAAACTACTTGTAAGCTGGTATACATTAAGCAAATGATAACTCAAATTTTGAAAAAAGTATTAAATTAGTCCGTTATGTTTTCATCAACCCTTGTATTTTATTTTCATTCACTGCTTTAGAAGTGCCCTACAGCTCTGACCTAGCTAGGCATTTTTAATGTGTGATGGACAGACTGGTGCATAGATGACTTCAGAGGGGTAGGAAGCAATAGTAACACATCCTAACCTGCACAATACTGGAGCTTTTGTGTCTGCCTGAGTGGAGAAAGCTTTGGAGAGCAGAGGGGAAGGGTTTGGCTGGGTAAAGTCATAGAGTTTAAATCCCTCTCATGCAGGTGAGTGCAAGTGAGATGCACTACAATATAGATGGGTGTGAGGGGATAGAGGGATTCCTCATCATTATCAGTACAGCACAGAGCATTTCCTTTCAGTGTCCTCTGCAGTAACAAGAAAGCTGAGTTCCTACTTTCCTGATTTTTTTTTTTTCTGTTTTAGCTGTATTGGAATTAGATTTAAATCCTTGTTTGAATCGCAGAAGAGAGAATTGGTGATGAAAGAAATGTTGGCAATCGTCCTTTTTTGAGCTGCTGGAGTGAAGCAGGGTATGCCTTTCTAATTGTTTCAGTTTGCAGCAAAAAAATCCCAGGATTCCCAGCATACATTAAGGTCTGGGAAAAGGCCAGAGTCAGAAGTACCATGCCAACCCCATGTCATCACTGACTGGCAATCTGCCACAGCAGAAACTGCACAGTTGAAAACTGTTTGGTTTCCCCAGCAGTTCATATTTTTTTGCTGGAAGGAGGCTCATCTCCTGCACTGAATGTTTAGAAAAGTGTAACAACTCCAACCCTGGTCTTTTTCTAAGTAGGAGGATGGTGAACAAATAATAATTATTTTTTCTATATATCCTTCCTAGATTGCCCCTGGGATCCTGGAGATAAGAACAAGAGAATAGCACAATAGACAAGTGAACCAAAGCCCGGCTAAAGCAAGGACTACATCTCAGAGAAGCACTGAAGATGTCACTTTTGCCAGGCAATTCCAGGTATGCAGTTTAAATGCTCAAGGAGTGGAATACCACGATCATTTTCATGCTCTGTGGAGTGATGCAGCTATTTTACCTCCTGCCTAGGGAATGCTGTCTCATGAGCACTCTTGGCTGCTGGCCATGCCTGCACTGGTGTTTCAGTCCAGAGAAGGAATGTCACAGCACACACACAGTGGCCTCCAGGTGACTGTCCCAAAGGATGAGGACAAGGTGTGCACCCGGTGCTCCCCAGTGTTAATGGGCTCTCTGTACACAGCCCAGAACTGGTGCCAGTCCAGGGGGACACCCCTCTCTCAGGGTCTGCGGTGCTGGGATGACGCTGAGAATGTAAAAGTCCTTGTTTCCCAGCCTGTGCAGCCAAAGGAGTCTGAAATGTGTAGGATCAGCTTCTGAAGGTTGTTTATTCTGCCTTATCTATAACATTCTTTCTCTGACCTGCTGAGTTCTGTCTAGCAAGTCGGCCATGGCATTCTGTCCCCAGTCTCAGGTGGCATTTACATTTTATACTCAAAACTATGTGCACTATGTTTATGATAATGTACCAATGCCTATCACTTATGTTAGACAGTGTGTTTCTACCTTAAACCAATAGAAAAGTGTCACCATCACACCAAGACATGGAAGACAAGAAGGAGAAGAAGGCCAGGACACGCCCAAATCCCTCCATCTTGTACCCCTGAACTCCATTCTAAGAACCCCAAAATTCTACTTTTTCACCCTGCGTTAACGATCACATTATTCAAACCTCTGTGGCTTGTAATTCCTCACACAAAGCTGGCAGCCTTTTCCACAGGCTAAAGTCGAAGCCACAGATGTTTTCGACTTTATGCCAGGGTCTTGAGACAGCCAAGTCAGCCAGAGGGATGTCCTGGACTCTGACACCCCTCCACCTGTGTGACTGCTGGCTCCTCTGCACCAACAGTTTTGCTCTACAAACCCACTCCTCCAGGGCCACAATTTGCTGAGACCCTAAAACACAATTGCACAGCAGCTACAGGGTTTTCCCTGTTAAAAACAAGCCTTCAGAAGGGGTGGGGGGCACACTTCTTGCAGTCCTGAACTGCCTGTGATCCCAGCCATGTTCACAGCCGTCTCCCTAGAAAAGGACTTGGCCACAAGTGCTCATCTCCTGAAGTGCTCCTGCTTTGAGGAGCTGAATTATTCCCTGAGTGGGTAGCCAGGAGAATTACACAGTAGCCAAAGGCATTTCCCTGAGGAGAGACTGCTCACAGACTGGAGGTGACTTGTGGTGCACCACACAGCAGGAGATACTGACCTCCTTGGCTTTAGGAACAAAACCCAAGATTCCCCAGCACTGGAATCCACAGACCAGCTGCCTGAGATGCTGTTGAGGTAACACAGCCTGGGACTCCCTAAAAATAAATGCATGAGTGCAGAATACACCTGGGCCATGTTTTCTGCAGTCACAGAAGGCACAGTTGGACTTTCCTGCCTGGCCTGCTCCTGCTGTCTGGAGCTATCCCCCACTTGTCCTTCAAGGCATGGACCTCCCGTTGTGCACTGTGCAGGAATTAGGAGCACCCACATGAAGTTGTTTCAAATTCCACTCCTAGAATTTTAGCTCACTAAAATTTAAGTGCAGCAATGCTCAGCAGAACTACTCTCAAGCTCACTAGTGGATCTGGGCCAACACCACAGGTCCAGATACAGAACCAAAACCAGGATTGAACTCAGTCAAAATAAGCAACGCAAATGCCTGAACTACATTCTCATATACAAGTCACAGACCAAGGCAAATGCAGTAGGAGCACACTGCCTTCCTTTCATTTGCACAGAACAACCAGAAAGAAAAGGTGTTTTTCAAATGTCAGACTAGAATTTGGTTGATGTTGTTGTTGTTTAGCTCTACCACACTGACAGCCTTTAATTCAGTGTGAATTCGAGTGCCTAAGAGGCTGTGTGTGGCAAAGGAGCCCAGATTAGGATTGTGATTCCTGACACACTGCTTGCAATATTTGGCCTCCAAGGACACTCCTACCTGATGTCTGGACCTCCTTCAGCTGGGAATTGCAGCCTGGGAATTTCAGAACACCTTCATTTTTAAGGTTATAGACAACAGAGTGACATGGTCCACATGCTCCACATGTCTTAATGGGACTAAGAGAATCATGGAAAAAGAAATAATTGACAGCATTTCTTCACACTCCTAGCCACACAACATCTGTTCAGATTAGATTTTGTGAATTTGATGTTATCTGAACAGTGGATTTGGTCCATAAGCCACCAACAACTCTTTTTCCTCTCTTTTCTAACAAAACAATCAGCTGTAAAACAGATTCCTTGGAAAGAGATATGTGCAAATGGATTTTTTTAATGCCAAACAAAGCTTTACTAACACCAGTAAAATCAACACGGGTTTAAGGGATTGCTCATTAAAAGGTGGAATCTCTATATTCTGGTATTCTAAGAACTGAAATATTTTAAAGACAAACATATTTCTTATGCATTTTTTCTCCCTTGTGACAAGTTGCTATTGGACACCTTATTTAATAGCTTCACAGACACTCCCTGCAAAGAAGAGTGAGAAAATTTATCTCATCTGAAAATGGATTTTCTTTGAGTGGGAAAATCCATGGATCCAGCTCAATTGGCATGAGGATTATAATTCTAAGACAATCTTAAACTGTCACATCCATCCAAACAGGTTTGGGTTGGGGTCTTTTTTCCAGAATGCTTAGAAACAGAATGGGAAAAGGTATCCCAGTAAGGTATTACAGTTTAAGCTTCCTCGAATTTTAATTCTTCCTCTTACTTTCTCACTGAAGAAAAGAAAATTAAAGCAAGATTAATCTCTTTATTTAATTTTACTAGTAAAATTCACTATATACAACTTTCTGTGCTCCTTGCAGAAGACTTCCTGCAGACAAAACGGGAAAATCTTATGCATGAGTACTTGAATCAGAAATGTTGGTACATTTATCTAACTGCTGTAAAATAAATTGTGTTCACAGCCATACAAGAGTAAAAGAACAATTATACCAGGCCAGATCAAAGATCCATCTGCTCAGCCTGCAGTTTCTGAGAGCAACAACTAGGGGATATCTACAGATAATGCACAGTGACACTTCCCCTGCATTGTCTTTAGACAATAGGGCAATTAAAATCGTTCATGATCTCCATCAGATGCTTCTAACAAGATTGAATTAAGCTGTGACCTGGCCATTTGCATCCCACAAGCAGAAAAATAAAAGCCAAAATTAGTCATTTCTCATTCTGATGTATTTGGTCACATCTAAAACTATTCCAACAGATAAGGTTATATACATATGTTTTTCTTAGCTAGTAATTACACTTCACACAAAGTAAATTATTTCTTTCATGGTCAGCTACAAGTTAGAAAACTTCTGGGACATCTGTAATCTTAGATCAACTTCTGAGGACAAGGACAGTTTCATTTAGCACTTTAACAGGAATTATTTTCCCTTCTAGGCTAATCCAGAACAGCAAATCAATACCACAAAGGTTATGTTATGCCTCCTTTTCCTGAACAGCAAGCTGTTGAAGTTTTGCTTTTTATAAATGGCTCATTATATTAATAAAGAAGTCACATATTGTCTATCTCTCCGATCACTGTGCCTTTAGGATTTTTCTCCCTTCATGCAGTATAGTGGCTCTTGAAGCTACTGGTTGGAAGGAAGTTTGTTTTATGGAAAAAAATTCCAGAAATTTACAGATGATTTCATGTATATGGCATCTTTGTTATGTTAGGATTGAAAATACTCCCCCACAGTTACTGATGAGGGTTCTCAGCTTTTGGAAATGCCATTCAGTTTTTCATTTTTTATGCTAAGCAAGGAATGTCATAGAACAATAAAAATTAAGCTGCTTACAGAAAATGTGCAATAATCTATCCTCAGTCAAGATAGCTAATGAAAACTGGGATTGATCAAATTCTGCTGATATAAGAGACTAACTGCATCCAGAGAACACTGATGCAACATTCTGGCAACATACAACTATGTAATATACAATCTCTCTTTTGATTAGGAAATCTGTCTCTCCCTCTTTGATTCCATGGGGCATAAACATTAATGAGTAGCTGCATTTTATATGTACTGACTTAGAAGTTCACTGAACAGGAGGGACACTTCCAAGACCCTCTGGGTTGGCAATAAAGACTTCTGTGCTAAAACCCATTCAAAAGGGGGATCCCTAATTAAAAGGACAATCTAATATTTAAAATTATTAGACATAATTAAAAGCAGTCTGGCCTTTCCTTCTGCTGGTCAGCAACACCCCAGAAGAAGAGGTGTGTGCTTTCAGGCCATTCTGAAGCGTAGGCATGAAATCCACCTGCTGCCAAAGAACGTGGCCACAGCAAGGATAACAACTGCAGTGGAGTGAAAACTCAAAAGGGAGTGGCAGAGCCACCATTTGGAAGCACACAGAGAGGGGGAAGCTTCCCTGCTGCCACAACCTGTGCTGGAAGACAAAGTAGCAGCTGGATCACCCCAGAGCCAAAAAATGAAGCACAGGATGTGGGTACAAACACTTGGCTATTTCAGCTGCAACTGCTTAGGGGGCACAGAGCTGCTGCCCTGGCAGTTCTGCACTGCTTTAGGTGCCTATCAGGAAGAAACACAGCGGCTGGATGTAGGTGGCTCTTGCTCTCTGTCTATTCTCTCCCTTTTCCTGCTTCTCTGCATTTATCCATCCTTCCCTCCCTCTCCTGCTCCTGAAGTTTTATTTCTTGACTCTGCCCATAATGCACTGAGGTTATTTTTCGTTCAGCTGCACTGGAAAGGCAGGGTATTTGCAATGTCAGGCTCAGGTGGGGATAAAAGAGTAAATGAATCTGGAGGCCATCCATGCAACAACTTAAGAATTTCTATCATAGATGCTATTGTTAGGAACCATGAGAGAAACTCCTTTTGCCCTTAATGAAAAGTTGGGGAAAGGGAAACTGGAGGTATATTACACTTTAAATTTGCAGCTAGTAGACTAGGACAAAGAGATACTTTAGTAAAATTATAAAGAATAAACCAAAATGGGGTTTGCCGCTCCATCACCCGTAGCAAATCAAGCCTCAGTCTTTCTTATGTTTATATATACCCTCCATAGGTGTGTATATATATATATATATATATATATATATGGAGTATATTTATATATATAGGGCCATATATATAATATATAGCATATTTTATATATATTAAATATATTTGTAAACATGAGAAGCAAGCAGATGTAGACAGTACAAGTCATATATTTAATTGGAAATTTGAGGTGATTTTTTTTTTTTATTGCTTGAACAAACCTTAGATAGCAACTAAATATTCACAGGTAAGACCTAACCTGGAATGCTGTCTGATTTTAAGATCAACTGCTGTTATAAATTTATGTCTCAGAGTGTTTCTAAGAAGTACATCTTGGTATCTGTGCTTTCAATATAAAGGAGGAGCTGTAATCTCAATTCTAATTTCAAGTGGCTTTTGCTGGGAGACAAGTCTTCTAAACCTGCCCAACTACATGTAACATTTCCCCAGTTTCCTTCTTTACCGACTCTGACAAATTTAATGTGGTGACAGGATAATGCCACAGGCACTGTGGCACTATGCCACATGCTAAGAGTGCACATGGTCTTGCACAACACTTGAGCACAACACCTGTAGGCTTTGGGGATGTAAATCATTTCAGCAATACATTTCATCTGAGGTGAGAAACTTTTAATTCTGGAAGGTGGAAGCCAGCAAGGATGCCAGCCTCAGAAGAGACTGAAATTTTGAATCCAGATTCTTTAAACACGAACTGTGCAGATAGTCAGACTGCAGATTCAGAGGGAGAGCCAAGGATGGTGGTGATTTGTACCATTTTCACATTACTTCTCTGTAAACTAATGGGACCAGCAAAAAATGTTATCTCTACAAAAAGAAAAGCAATTTGCACTTGATAAAAATTTTAATAACCTCCTGAGAATTCTCCAGTTTATTTCCTTCTTGCCCCAAGTTTTTATCTCATAAAAATGTTCAGTGATCTAGCATTTTTCAAATATTTTTTCTATTTATTTCTGTATTACTGCTACAAAAGATGCAACAGAAACAGAACATAAATCAAAAAGAACTCAGATGCACAATTTAATACCAGTTTCTTACAGAAATGCAATTTTTATAACTTATAGAGGGAAAAAATATTTTAAAAGAACTGCAAAGAATTCAGAGCATCTCTCAGTCCCTCAGGTTCAGTTCTGGCCCTGTAAGCCCCAAGTGTGACTCTTACCAAGGGACTGTGAGGTCCTCAGGCTCACCACCCTTACACTGATTATCACCATACACAACCTTTATTGTCACTACAATAACTCTTAACCTCAGTGTATTCACAAAGAGAAAGTCATAGATTTCATTTACAAATTAATTTTCTAATGACAGCATCAAAGGTCTCTCAGCAGTGTTCTTGCCAGCTAAAAGCCAGAAAAGGAACTTCCTCTTGTCTGTGCCAAGGCTCATTTCACACAAATGTGAACATGAGGAAAGAGAAAAGTTTATTAAAGAATGTTGTGACAAGGTATAAAAGGCTACAAAACTGTACTTGGGGTTTCTCATGACAGATACAAAGGTTCTGATGCTGAAGCATCAGGGCAGAAATCAAGATCTGAGGTGGGTTTTAAGCTCACACCAGCTCCCTTCTGATTTTGTGTCAGCCAGTATTTTTTCTATGCTTTTTTTCTGCCACACTGCCCATCCCTGTTCCCTGATGAGGAGAACAGACTTGATACCTCCTTTTTGTCTTTTTTGTGTCTCCAAACTGTTTTTCTCTTAGAAGTGCTTCATAAAGAGGGTTGTTTCTGCTCAGCACATCTCCTCACGTGTTTCACCACGTGTATTTTCATGACGTGAGCTATTAAACTACGGGCCAAACTCTCTTTTAAGAGAGTCCTTGACACCAAAGCTTGTTAACTGACTCATTGAGGGATAAGAAGTGGAATGCTACCTAAAGTAGTATTTCTGAAACTGCAAAATACCTCCCAGTTGACAGATTATACAGGTGATTGTTGTTCCACACGTACATGCGACAGAAACAAGAAAAAATGTGAAGTCACATCCCTAAGGAAGAATAGAGGGGAAAAAAGGTTACTTCCCTCCTCTGCTTACTGAAAGAGAAACTAAAATTTTAGATTAGTTAAAAATCAGATAGAGTTTTCTTCCAGCTCTTTGAAAAACTTTGAGAAGAGTTTCACTTTGGCAATATCACATAAAGAGAATTTCTAGCTTTTCTTTGCCATTGAACTATTTACCAAGTTTAATCTGAGTTGACATAGTACTTAGCTCTGAGAGCAGCAATTTTAAGAGGTAAATTTACCATTTCTGTGTAATGCAGTTTCCACCATTCCATTTCCACATCAGCAGTAGATACATTGGCCTAAAAGTGAATTAACTTCTCTATCAATAATCCTGAAGCAAAGCTTATCAATCACTGGGACACAGGACAAAGGAAAGCTACACACTCATGTCTGGCTATTTTTCTCTGAGATAGAGTACAGTTCAAATACAGATTACAAGTTTGATGAAGGAATTACAAAGTATTATGGTCTGAGTTAGACAGGGGATAAAATACAATTATATTGGTTCATTTCACAAAGCTTCTCTCAACCCAGCTATCACAAAAGACAACATCCTATCCATGCAAATTAAGAATATCCAAAGCAGGGGAATATTCTAGAAGATAAGGAAGCCACTGTTTACATTTTCCTAGTTAGTGGAAGTTAAGCACTAGAAAGTACCATTTTTAAAATTACATAGCTACCTGTTGATAAATAAGGAAATCTTTTTGCAGGTACAAGCCAATACATTTTTTTTCTGGAATATACCAGCATTGGAGACACACATCAAGGAGTTTAAACAAAGCAAACCATCATGCTAAGGAATTTTAAATTTTAAAAGAAAATGTGGATAGTAATTCAGGTAGATAAATTCAGTAGAGTAGATTCAAATCAAGAAGATCAATGCATTCAGAAGGCACAGGGCATAGTGTTTGTTTATTTACTGTTGTGACTTCAGAATACAGAGCATCTCTGATGATGCCAGTTGCAAATAGCATCAGCAGAAGGATTTACAACCACTCAGGTGGTGATGTCTTTCAAAATCTGAGCATCCCCACATTTAAGATATTAATTACAAAGGCTAGTCAAGGTCTATGTGGCTCTTCCCTTACCCTGGTATCAGTGAAAGGCAGCGCTATCTCAGATAGAAAATTTGCTATCTAGGACTTGAAAGCTTTGTGCTGAGGGATTTTGTTTTCACAGGAGTTCAAACATTTTGTTTAACTTTTTGATATTCAACTCAGGGGGTAGAGAGAATTTTCCTGGGGAAGAAATTTAATTTATGGCATGCTCCTTATTACTTTTTTGCTGAAAAGGTGCTAGCAGGGAGGCTAAGATAATTTCACAAGTGGATGGCTGTAAGTGTGAGGGCTGTGCTCAGGTTTTACAGCTGTAGGTGGGGAAAAGTTGTTTAAAGCCTTGTCCAGGAGGTGGCAGGAGAAGTTAACCAAAATTTCCATGGTTCTTCCTGTCAATCCCTAATTCACAGAATTACTAAGAACTACGAGTTACCATAAGGAAAGGTGATAAAGTCTGGTTACTGAAAAACACAAAAGCCTCTCGCTGAATATTTCTCCCTTGAATCTGATATCTGTGCCTGTGTAATTTGTCCAGTTATAAACACACTACATTTTAAAGGAAATCCAACTTACACCAGCATTCCAGCACTGTAATTAATACCTGAAGTACAATTTCGTTTTTATTCCAATTTCATTTCTGCTCTGTTCTACAGAAAAAACTTTTGCAATACTCAATTTACCCAAAAGGAAACAATTTAAAGGAATCCAGTAGTAAAACAAA